TCACAAACGAAGTATACAAAATCTGAAAGATAGCCTGGAAGTATTGAAAAATGCTACAAGTACATAATAAATGTACATAAAAGTGTACATAACACTCATCTACTTGATTTTTTATTTTTGGTGGGTCTCACTCAATGTGAGTGTTATGTACACCCTTATGTATAATACTAGTAAAGTGCACGTGCGATGCACGTGGTAGTGAATGTTTTTACCAATTAAGTTTAGTAAAATAAATTAATTAATTTAGTAAAAATATCATTGCAAGAACAAAATAAAATGTAGAACAAATGAGCTCATAATATAATTGTTTTTTGCCGATTAAGTTTTGTAAAATAAATAAATTAATTTATTAAATATATCTTTGCAAGAATGAAACAAAATGTAGATCAAATTAATGACAAAATGTAGAACAATTTGTTTTTTCCAAAATAACTTAACGATGTCCTAATATAAAAAGAATTAAATAACATATTACAATCCCAACAAAAACACTAAATAACTAAATAATGATTAATATATATTTTACATGCGTTAGTTCTTTTATTTGTTTATGTTAGATTATTCAATAACGATCTCTTTCATTTTGGTTTTGATGTCCTCATAAGAAGCATTGTTGATTCAATAGTATTGCAAAATTCATTTCAATTTATTTGACAAAACGTTTACTTTATTCAAACACTTAAGAAATATTCTAGCCAAACATATTGTGAAACTTCGTGGTTGTATTATCTTTATATTTCTACTAACAATGCATGAATATCTCTGCAAAATAACCAATCGTGTCATTAAAATTGTTGATTATTTTTTATCATTGTATAAACTACTATATTACTATCTCTATATATATAGACAAATTGATACCTACCCCATGGATGTATCGCCCTACGGATGAGAATGAATTTCATCTCCAAATAAAAGTTGACTTTCAAAATCTCTATTACATGTACTTTTCCCGAGATTATATTTTGAAATCATCACATATTACCTAAAATTATAAATATTCATATAATAAGTGTCAACTTCATTCAAACATTCAAAAATGTTTTGATCAGGCTCCAACATTTCATTTTCAATGTCATTTATTTGTAAGATGGACGAACAATATAATCTATCCAACATTTCATTTTTAATGTCATTTATTTGTAAGATGGACGAACAATATAATCTATTGTTTGCAAATCATTGACCATCTAATTCTTGCAATGATTTTAAAATTATTTATCTTAATATCTTTCACATTCGTTTGGATTTATAACATTTATGTGTCCAATAACCTTTTTAATGTTTTTATCGTCCAACTTTATGCATCATACATAATGCTCAGAAAACTCAAAATAACGATCATTTTTTTATTCTTCACCAATGACAAAACCAAACAAAACAAAACAATAAGACAACATTGAGAAGCATATCATTTGTTACAATATTTGAGATGAGAAGAATTGGAATTCTATTTTATGACACTTAGTCAACTTTGAACTTTATTATTACTAAATCATTATTAAAATCTACATTATGTATTATAAAGTTTTAAATTTTTAATTAATTAAAATTAAAAATTGATAGGATCAATATTTATGAGATCCAATTTCTTACAGAGTCCAGATATTTAAACGCTAGGAACAAAAAAAATATTATTTTTAAAAGACTTTTTGTTTCTACATATTGGTATTGATACTTGTCTAAGGAGATTCAGACGTTTTCTTTTTTTAATTGCATTAATATTATTTTATTAGTTTTTTATTCTATTGATAAATGATACTTTATTTATTAAAAGAATTATAGCACATTTATATGTATTGCATAATATTTTGTACGTGTTTCATATAATGACGTTGTTATCAAAATATCTTATTTATTAGGCAACAACTAATATAATCACATAAGACAAAATAAAATTTAATATTACTTATTTATTTATTGATTTATATAATATATTTGATAAAAAAATGTACTTTTATACTGATTATTACATTAAAAGGTTTAGAATTTTTTCCCAATGCTTGAGAAAATATTAAGAAACTAACTCATTTTCATACTCATTGAATTTATGTGTTAGTTGAATAATAATTTAACATACAACTCGTTTATTTCTCCTTCTGATTCACATGGTTAATATTGGTGATAGTTGTATGTTTACATCCATTGATTGTTTTTTCTTAGTATGAATTTTCGTATCTATGTAAGCAAAATATGCCACAAGTTTATATTAATTCATTTAACATGGATGTATAATTTATTTTATATGATACTTTTAGGTCTATTTATTATTTTAAATTCGTGTTGATAATTGATATACATCATTGGAAAGAAATGATGTGATATATTACATATAAAAGGGTAACAAATGAAAAAATAATAAGTATTTTAAAATTGAAAAATTAATGGTAGAAAGTAATTAAATTTTAATTAAAAGAATTTAAAACTAACATAGTGAATTATAATGCAAAAAAAAATATATATTTTTTATGAACTTAAAAATTCAAGTTAAAATAAATGTGCATATTAAGTATGTTTGATATTTCTCATTACCTAGCTCCAATTGATATAGGACATTAATTAATTTTATTACTTTTTTTTTTACTTTCAGATTTAATGCAAGCTATTAGTTTTCTCATCATTCTTACCGCTTGTTTAGCTATTATAATACTAATAAAATAATTAAGGACTTTTTGACCTAGATGTATCTTGTTTGTTTTGAAATAGTTTACTAATTACCATAAATTAAATGATAATTAGATTGAATTTGTTATATTTTCTATCATTATCAACAATTTTCATAATAATTAGTTGCAGACAATATTATATATAATGCAAATATTTCTTATTGATTTGGAGCCCTACTTTTACTACAAGAAAAATGAGAAAATTCTAACTAAAATTTCGAAAAAAAAAAATATATTACAAGGGATTCATCAAAAATTCTAACGAATATTTCAATGTTATTAGGGTTTAGGGTTTAGGGTTGCAAAGACAAGACGTTTATTATGCATCAAGAAAGGCTGCTGAATGAATTTAACCAGTCTTTCCTGGAAGAAAATCAGTGTGTCAAAAAGACAGTTAACTTCAATATCTAGGTAAAATCCAAATTTCTAGGAGGGGTTGGGTATGGTTAAAAATTGATTGGCTGTCATGGGTTCTGTGTAGAACAAAATCATTAGTAAGAACTCCTCTGACAGTAAAGTGAACCAACTCCTCCTATTAATCTCTGGTCATGCTTAGTAGGTAAAATAGTATCAGTAGGTTCATAAAGAAATAACCGAAGCTCAATCAAACACACATTTTGAGCAAGCTCTATAAATTTAAGAATACATGAAGATATGTCCAAAACAACATAGATGTTTTGGCCAAAAGATAGTTTACTCCATTAAGTAAGCGTGCTATGTTACTAGAAACACACCTTGACATCTAGTTTCCAGTCGTTTTCTTTTCTATTCAGTAAGATTGTTCAGCTTGCCTCTGACATAGACAAGCATCATGCTCCAGAGCAAGACCATTTCAATACTCAAACCCCTCATTATTTAAATTCTTACATGTCAGTTTTGATCTGAGATTCAGCATCATGCAACAGCATTATATGTTCTCAGCCGCAGCTTGAAGAATTTCAGACAATATTTTGTTACTTAACACGAGCTAAGGGCATGATAAATAGTTCTACAAGTTTGAGATATGAGAAACAAATTATCAAAAATAAATGGATAATGGTCTGGCGACATTTTCATTTCCTAGATTTTTTTTCTCTATAGGGGGAAAGACTACCTAGCGAGGCCATACTCGCGATTCTGTTTCGCGTTCATTAAAAGCTTGCTGGTGTCCTGAGTCCCTACTACTTTGCGTCGAGGAAAAAGGAAAAACTATAAACATATGAGAAGAGGAATATAAATCCAAGAAGGAAGAACGCTGCAGGAAAGAGTAGAAAGTTTCCCCAAAAGAACTAATAACCTTTTAAGACTGCCACAGGACTACATTCAGTAACTTCAACATCCTTTTCTTGCTCTATACTTTTCTTAGAACCACGTTGAAATTCATCATGAATAAAAATTTCTGGAGATAAATGATAATAGATTCGACTCCCCACAACCTTCACATGTATATAATGGTATTCATATTTTAAGCTGAAGAAGGTAGCCTCGTTCATTGAATGTATTGTCTAATCAAAGCATGTCAATCATAACTTGTACTGTAGATTTCTCTATCCAACGGAAAGTAATAATATGAAGCAAGCAAACAAAAATACATAGTCAGAATATGAAAAGGAGGAGTCAAGCTCAAGAGCATCACTAAGAAATTGCCGTGTTATGAGTTTAGATTCTAACAATTCATTCATGTAAAAGGAGAATGGAAGTATCTTGGAATTTAAATTGATCTGCATACAGTTCTAGGAAACCACACTTTCCTCAATGACAAACATCTTGATTTGGTGTAGCATTTAGGCATAGAGTCTATACGCTAGCCTCCAATTGCAAATGAATTGTACCACACCTTACATTTATTTAAACAAATCTAGCCTAATTAACAGGTAGATGATGAGAGAAAAAATTGGGGTACGGTATTAGTGCATGATCATGCTTTTGAAGCACAGATCATATATTTTTGAAGAAAACGAACATAAATAAGTGAATCACAAAATACAGTAACCTTTCACAAGTGACTCATTTTCAAAGACCTCAGTGTCAGTTGCTTCAGCAGATGATTTGGACACCCCGTTTTCACCATCTTCGATGATTAAGCTTGGTTTCATAAGGGGATTATGCTTTAACTTGCATCCATGATCCTTAATATCTATTTAGGAAGAGCAAAATGCATATGTAATGAGCACGCACTACCATGTATGTGTAGATTATAGATATCCAATCAGGTATCTAGCTTTATAAACATGCCAAGGAGCAAACAAAATGAGCACGCACTGCTATCCATAATGGATAGAATTATATTTCATGACGGGTTAAAAGTAACTCTCTCCTATGGATGATTGGTCTGCCTATCAACATCCGTTTTTCTAGTTTCAAAGAATTTGTTGATTCTGAGGGGAAATTTGACCGAAATGGAAAGATCAGTTCGTGATGGATCCTTAAAGGTTTGAAATACACAGTGTTGATATGGCTCATATATTAACAAAGGAAAGAGGCAGGCCGATGCCTGCTCGCGGAGCTCCGCTCGCTCCGCTCGGTCGCGCATATTGCCGAACCACGTAAATCTTGTGTCATTTACTTTATCGTCTTTAATTCGTATTGTTCCCGTTTCACAACACACAGTAAACTTATTCTCCATCAAATTAGCATATCGCGAGCCATAAAAACAAGTAGGAACACTTGGATCTATGCGAAAACTTAAGTGCAGACACAGATATCCAGGCAGCAGTACATACGCAAGTATGTCTGACGAGTCCTGTTCTAGTTGGTTTCAACAGAGAAAGCACAAAATCGATCATCAAAATTCAACTCTCAGTACCTTAGATTATGAAAAACTCTTTAGGAGAGCGAGCTTTCCGCAAAATTCATGGATAGCGAACGGGACGGGAGCTCGAATTAAGCGTCCAACTGTTGAGGAATGAGCTGCGGATAACTGAAATTAAAGAATAACCATAAAAACTCAAGTTTCAATACATTCTCATAGACATTACACGCCAATAACTGAGGTAAAAGGACAAGGGAAGAGTTTAGTTCCTTACTGTTCATGCTGTGCGAGTGTCAAGCAAAGGTGTGGAAGAAGAAGATGTCATGTGGCGATGGCGGGAAATGGAAAATTGATGCGTAAAACGATCCACGGGTCCTGCTATATGTCACTTGGGCCTTAAATGGACAATAAGCTTAACAATAAAGTTGTCTATATATGTCACTTGGGCCTTAAATGGAAAATAAGCCCACCAATAAAGCTATTTTCACATCCACTAGTCCAAATATTTCTTGCTCTATTGACACGATATTAAATATTAATCTTAAAATAATTACATTATATTATTCTAAGAACCATAATTCCTATACTTACCCATTATTTGGTCAATAATTATTTCAAAAAATAATATCAACATAGTACTATTTATATTATTAGGAAATTTCAAAATGGAATAAAACCAACAATTACCTTCATTGTTATGCTAATCCAACTAGGCAAAATTTAAAAAAATGATACACTAATAATTTGCGTGTTGTCCAAAAAAAAAAGACATTTTATTTAGTATATATCAAAATAGATACAATAATTAGTCAGCCCCTTGGATTGGACGGATAAATTGATGACATGTCATATAATGTTTCTTTTGATGTGTTGTTTATGTGGCATAAAAGTGGAAGGTCCCGTCAGCAAGTGAAAAATGTTTGAAATTGAGAAAAATCATATAGCGAATTCGGTAATAACATGTTTTGTGTAGTTTGAGCATTTGGGGAGGGGAAGGGAGTGTATTGACATGTTTGTTTAGCGAATTCGGTAATGCGACAATTGATCAAATTAACATTATGTAATATAACTCAAGTGGCTGCTGCTCATCCTGCCTGAATAATTCTTTTATTCATCTGTTAGTCAGTCTAGTTTATCTTCGGATAAGTGCTATCTAATTTTCAGGTATTTCTTAATGTACATAAAATTGGAAATATTGGCATGTTTGGCTCCGAGGAAATGTCCAGTGTTGTTGTTGTTTCCAGGTCTGTTACTATTAGTGGTTTTGTGATGAAAGTGGGGATGGATGAAACTTGTTATGATTTCAGATTGAGAATTTTTTTTTTATTAAGAATTTAAAAGTGGTTTTATTATTTCAAGAAATATTAAGAATTTTTTTTTTTTTATTATTGGTGGTTTGGTGATAACACATCTATATATATATTAAAGCAAAACAGCTGGTTTAGAGTTCTTTTCCCGCCTAAGAAATGTATTAATTGTTGTAATTAAGTTGTCTTTTAACAATATTTATCTAATTTTAAAATGACTATTCACTTGCAAGCATTTAACTATAATAAATAAAGTCTATTAAGTGTGATGAAACTCTTTGATTCAATGCATTGGGCATAATAGTGACAATCCTTTCTTAAAATTTATTACCAAACCGTTAATTATACAAATTATTAAAATGGCACTTAAACAAAGTGATTAACTATGTCCATTCAACATTAGGCACCAAGTTGTTTACTGCTCTTTCAAATAATCATATTTATTTTCTTGACCTTTCAGTTTTTTATTTGAACTCGAATAAATATAAATATATAGAACATTATCAGTTGAAAAAATGATATGTAAAAGTTAATATAGATCATGAAGATAATGAGTAAATTAGACAATTATGCACACATATTTTATAACTCATTAGTTATTTATTAGTTTTACAATAAAAACCAAATTATTTTACAATAATTGAACTTTAAATTCTTCTTTATTATAATAATTTCTGATTGTGATTCACATTTCCTTCAATAATATAAATAACATTCAATGTTTTTTGAGATATTTAATTTTATTTTCAGAATTTTTACAATTTGTTTAATTGAAAATGTATATTATTCAAAATAATAAAATAATAAAATAATATTTTACAAAAAAAATATAAAAAATATATATTTTAAGTTTAATCCATTATATATTTTTCTAATGCCACAATTGATTACGTATTATATGTATTAGCATATGGAACTCAATATAAATAACTTATTGTTTAAATAAAGTTACTTCAACATACAATTGGAAAAACCAAAGTAATAAATGAAACAGTGTAATATAAATTTTTTCTTAATATGAAATAATATGGGTGTATATTTATTCATATTTTTATGGAATATAATATTCCACTGGTAATACTTATTTCATTATTATTATTAAAAGCTACATCTATTATCTAAAAATAAATTTGTCAATTTCCAAGTATGGTATATTATTAAAACAACGAGTATAATTGCATGTTTAAGTATATAATTATGTTTATTCACAATTATGCAGTGAGACTTGCACTCTAATATTCACGGCTTTGAAAATAATTTGTTAAATCCTTTGTGGATAATTCAAACAACAATAAATAATTATTTGCACGAAGACTTAATTCAAAAAAATAACACGTTTATCATTATAGATTAGTTTATGTATAATAGCTTAAATATACTATCATTCCATAATCATACATATGGAGTGCAAATAATAGAGATAAACTATACTTTAAGGTGATTAATTATTTTAATATAAAAAGATTATCAATGGTTTACCACTTGATAAAAGTAACAATGCTTATTATTGTGATATATCTCAAATATGCAAATATCGATACAAGAAGTCATCAACCTGGTTAATAACAAATCGCAAACTTACACAACCAAATTTCATATTTTTTTTATTTTCTTATATAATTAATTTAAAGAAAAATATAAACACACACACACAGAGAGAGAGAGAGAGAGAGAGAGAGAGAGAATATAAAGTTTCGACTAAAAGGGAGCAATTTTTTAAAAAATAAAATATAAAAGTATCATCTACGGATATTGAGTACCAACATGCATATCCATATGAAATGTATCGCGAAAATAGTGAATAATCTCTTAATTCGAAACAGTTTATCTGAACTTAGGTTTCTTTTATTAATATCGAGCAAGAATATGAAAGAAAAAAAAAAAGAAACAGGACAACTTAGAATCGAACATAATTTGATTGTATTTATGGGTAAAAAATGCAAAAAATATTTCAAAACTAATATTATAAAAAAATACAAATGATAACATACAAATTGAGAGAGTTCGAGGATTCATAGATGTGCAACTCATGTCTTTAATTGTGAAACTAAAGGAAAAATTCATATTGGTTTAAGTTTGATTGAATGTGTTATTTGACCCACAAAATAAAAAATTGTTTATTTTTTTATTTTTAGTTGGTATAATTTATTTTATTTTTTTTCAAAATATTACTTGACGTATGCTATTTTTATGAATAAACAATAATTATACAACTATAATTCTTGAAGATAGGCGTAACTGGTTAATTTATTATTTGACGTATGCTTCTCCCACCCCCTTAGCTGCCGTCAGAGTTTGCCGGTGGACGGTGCTCCACCGGTCATCCATGGCGCTGGGTCTCATCGATTGTCGCACGCCGTGGGATTCTGGCCGATACTTCGTCAGAGTCCTATTCTCTGCGATGGCGGCCGGGATGTCGGGGTGTTGGTGGTCGGTGTAGCGCGGCGCCGGTGGATGGTCGTGGCTGGGGTCGCTGCGTCGTGGCTGTGTCGGGATGTCTTTTCTCTCCAGGTTCAGCGGTGGCTTCTCTGCAGTTTTTTGGTTCTGCCAGTTGACTCGCGACTTTCGGTCGCAGGTATTTTGGTGAAGCTGAGGAGATGGGAAGTGGTTCGTCTTTGGGGCTGGGAGGTGAGTCGGTCGTCCGTTCGGGCTGTGTCGGAGTGGCCACGCTGGGTTGCTTCGTACCCCTTACCTCCCTTGTGTCGCTGACTTTGTGGCTGAGGTAGGCCGGCAGTCTCTGGAATCGGCTAGTGGTGTTAGACAATCTCGGGGAGGTGTCGGACTAGGCTAGTGGTGTTAGCCGGTTGAGGGGCGGTTGTGACTTCCTACGGCTGGAGTGTGGGTCGGTTTTTTGGATTGTTTTTGGGGCTCGGGTCTTCGTCTTGCTAGGCTTTAGGCAGTGGCGGGCGAGGTTCCTGCGCTTTGGATCTCTCCTCGGAGTCGGCTTTGTCTGCTGTCAATCTCGGATGTCTCTGCTGAGGGAGGGTTGTTTCTGTTTTGTGTTCTTTGTAGTGTTTTGCTTTTGATTTGTTTGGTTTGTTTGTTCCGTCTTGTGTTTTTAGTTTGGGCCGTTGGCCTCTGTGAGCTCGAGTGTGACCTTATTATCCTGTTGGGATCCCACACTCGGGCATTACCCTGTTGGGGCCGTTTCTTTTTCTTTTTCTTTGTTCTTTTCATTCTCCCTTTGGGAGCGAATTAGGGTCGGTTGAAGATAGGCGTAACTGGTTAATTTATTATTCGTATATTTATATTGTTTTCATAAGAATGATGGGAAGATATTGTCTTTATCAAAACATTACGTCCAATAAAGTTCCGCACGAATTACTACAAATACAACAACTATTTTTTTATCATATATCACAAGTGTTAGTTTTACTTTTTATCGTTTTAGTGCAATATATTATAATTTAATTATTTTATTCTTATTGTTTTGCAAAAATTCTATCAATTTCTACCAAAATAAGTAAAATTATGATTCTCATAAATTCAGTGCAAGTAAGTGTTGGTTATTGATCTAAACATTGACGGTGATCATCTTGATTGTTAATATGATCTAAAAATGTAAAGAAAAAACAAAAATTTGAAAGTATATACTAAAAAGCTAATTTGATATATATAGACATTTATACTTTTATTTTTCTACTTTTAGATGGACATTTATTGTCACATTTTGTATACAAAGTAAAAATTAGACGATTTAATATTTGAACATGACTTCAGAATATGCCTTCATTTACGGTTTAGAAATAAACTAATATGGCGGAATGATATTGTGAAAGAAAAAAAATGATAACAGAAAGAGTGAGAGTGTCTCAACTATAAAGGAGAGAAAGAGTGACGGTATGATTTGGACTGGAAGACTGAATAAGAAAATATATATTTATCATTCACTTATTTGATGAAATGTTTTTTATATATGATGTCTTTTATAATGGTTATGGTCCTAAATGATTGAACAGTCTGAGCCCAAAATACATAGTTTGTTTATGTTATTTTATTTTTAGTTGATATAATTTGTTTCATTTAGACTCAAATTTGAGTTCATGTAAAAGTTTGTGATTAAAGTGACTGTCTACATTTTAATCTCTTTATTGATCCACAATTATGCAACTATTATTTTTTATAATTAAAAATAGCATAATGTGTAACTATTGTGAATTTTTTATTATTATACACATGTTTTTTCTTAAAATGATGACATGAATATATTATGCTACTGAATCTTTAATAACTACTACAATGCATCAAATAATTTTTCTTATCATATGTCATAAAAGCTATTTTTTATCAAAATAAATTTTACTCTTTTATATTTTATACAATATTAGTTATATTTATTTTTCTTATCATTTTATGAAAATTCTATCAACGTCATTCTAAAAATTATATTAAATTACATTCTGTATGAATTACGTGCAAAAAATAAGTAATTTGTTATTCACATAAACATTAGTGATTATTGTGCATATTTATAACATTGAAATATGTTATTTATCTTGCACGTAATTCTGATCACTATCGGTCTTATCTTGCCAATAAATAATATTAAAATTTATTTTTCCAATTAAAAAAAGTGAAAGATATGTGCACCCTAATTTTATACTAAATGCATGCGATTCGAAATTGAGTCATTTTTGAATTTTTTTCTTAAGTATTTATTTTTTATTTTTTAATTTTAATTGGCTCATATTTGTTCATGTTTATTTCAACTATTCTATATCAATTTATCTATATAACAGTAACAATGTCTTTGGTTATTCACAAATGAAGAAAATTATGTTATTATCTAGACATTTTTAGGAAAAAGTTTCAAGGAGTGTTATTAATGTGACAAATACTAATTTTCATCAAATATCAATAATGTTGTCAGAATCAGTTATATGTTATTTTTTCTGTAATCACGGATCCCGTTGTATGTTATTTTTTTTGTAGTCACGGATCCATGTGTCTCATGATTATTTACTTTGATGGTAATGGTAATAACAAATACATTTCATTCAGTAATAATCTTATAGTTAGATAAATATTTTAAAATATAATGAATAAAATTTCCAGCATACTTTTTATGATATCTATATATGTATGATTATTTTCATTTATTTAAATTATAATTTATTAACATCATTCTTTAACATTAGGCCGCGCAACGCGCCGCCGGTGACATACTAGTTCTATGTGGAACTTGAGAATGTGGTTTTATTTATGTGGTGTGAGATTTCAGATTTGGGTGCCTGTTACTAATAACAAGAAAAAAATATAGTAGATTGAGTGGGATGTCAAGCATGATGTCATATCCCACTCCAAACACGCACATATATAATGGGTAGGGCTCTCCCTCTCTATAATAATATGCATGTTTGAAATTTGTAGGTTAACAACACATAAATGCAAGACAGTGGGAAGGTGATTTGACTATGATTTCGATCCCGCCAGAACCTCTCTAGTCTCTCCGCAAAAATATGATGCTAATGTATGATTCGATTTTTGATTTTCATGTAATCTTATGCTACATATAGTCTTTATGTTTATGAAAAAAATGATTAAAAATTAGTATGAGAATAAAATCATTATGCTACACATAATTATAAATAACATTTTTACGATAGTTTGGTTGTTATTTTATTTTTAACCAATCCTTACTAGACAAAATTCTCAATTGACCGTTACAAAGGAATGAAAAAAGAAAACGCAGTGAATACATATTATTTCTAATCTTACAATAATAACAATAATAATTAAAGGGTAAAAAAAAAAAACATAATTAAAATTAGGAGGAAGAAGCGGAGGTGTGAAGTGCGACGAGGGAAGCATAGAAACCATCTTTGATATTGATGAGCTGCGTGTGCTTCCCTTTCTCAACAATGGTGCCGTTCTTAACGACGGCTATGAGGTGGGCCCCCTTGATTGTGGAGAGGCGGTGGGCCACGACTACAGTGGTGCGGTGCACCATGATGTTGTCCAGCGCGTCCTGCACTATCCTCTCGGACTCGGCGTCCAGAGCGCTGGTGGCCTCGTCCAGAAGCAGTATCTTGGGGGCCTTCACGATGGCCCGCGCTATGGCCACCCGCTGCTTCTGTCCCCCTGACAGCTGCACCCCTCTCTCCCCGACCACCGTTTCGTAGCCCCCGCCCAGCCCGCTTATGAACTGGTGCGCGTTTGCCAGCTTTGCAGCAGCCACAATCTCCGCCTCGCTCGCGTCACCGTCCTTGCCGCCGTAGGCAATGTTTGCGCGGATTGTGTCGTTGAACAACACCGGCTCCTGACTCACCAGTCCCATCTGTTGCCTCAGCCATTTCAATTGGAACCTCCTTATCTCCGTCCCATCTATCGTTATTTCGCCCGAGTCCGGGTCGTAGAATCTTTGCAGCAGTTGTATTACCGTTGATTTTCCGCTGCCGCTCTCCCCAACCAATGCCACTGTCTGGCAGGAAATTTAAAGAAAAAGTGCGTACTAATTAGGAGGAGGAATGATGTTGAATAATTAATGAAATAGTAGTCAAATAATAACATTAATACCTTGCCGCTGCGTATTGTTAAGCTCAGGTCCCTAAATATCTGAACATCAGGCCGCGTTGGATACTTGAAACTCACGTGCCTCAGCTCGATTTCACCCTTCATGTTCTCTAGCGTCATCCCTGACTCGTCACTCGGATCAATCTTTGATTTCCTATCCAGGATCGCAAATATAGAAGCAGCAGCACTCTTAGCTTTGGTTGAATCAGGGGCCAATGAACTCGACTGAGAAATCGCCACCGCTGCCATTGTCAGAGCAAAGAAAACCTGCAACACCAACCAACCCCGGCCCATAAGAGAGAAATGTTATTGACTATATATATATGTATATAATCACAATGAATGAATAATGCATGATTATGCAAGTTCAACTCACCCGAAACACATCATCAAATGTGATCTTTCCATCTTCCACAAGTCGAGCTCCCGCGTAAAAGCTAGTGGCATAGACAAGAAAAAGCAAGGCGAAAGAAATGCCAAAACCCACTCCACTAACCAACCCTTGCCTGACCCCATTCTTCAACGGCCCCTCACACTTGTTTTTGTACATTTCCATCACCTTCTCCTCCGCACAGAAGGAAGCCACTGTCCTTATGCTCCCAACCGCATCATTCGCGATCTGACTCGCCTCCTCATACATTGTCTTTGCATCTGCACTGAAACCCTTCATGAACTTGACCTGCACGAAACCACTCGCTCCTATCAGGGGTACCATCGCAAGAATGATGAGCGCCAGCTGCCAACTGGCTTCAAAAGCGATTGCCAGCCCAACAGTTGCCGACGACAAATCTTGAACCATTTGCGCGAGCGAGTCCCCCACGAGAGCACGCACGCTGGCAGCATCGGCAGACAGCCTGGCCCCAATCACTCCGCTCGAGTGCTTCGCCTCGTCAAACCATCCAACTTCCATGTTCACCACCTTCTTGAAACACATCAACCTAATTCTCTTTATCAACTTATTCCCGGCCACCCCAAATAGATAGGTCCTCGCCGGGTACGCGACGAATGACGCGACCCCGAGCACCAGAAACATCAAAGCCCAAAACTTTGAATCCCTGCGTAGCACATGCGGCGTGTCGAAGAATATTTTGATCACGCTTGAAATCAGTATTCCAAAAATAGGCATTATCGCGCCATTAATAATGGCGGCCAGAGTCCCCAAAATCAGTACGGGTATCTCAGGCTTATTTAGGGCAGCGAGACGACGTATAGGGACAGGCGGAGGCTTTTCCTCAAATGTTTCGTATTCATCGCCTTCTTCCAAGTGGGGGTCAGCCATGTTGTTAAGTGAGGTTGGCAGACCAAATGACACCGAAATTGAATGGCGGCGGCTGCTGCTGCTACGTCCTATGGAGGATCCTCTGCTGAGGGAGCGCTTGAGCGACGACATTCTTTGACTCGACTGTCGGCCATAGTCCATGGACGATTCAGATCTTTCCCTTTCATTTTCAGCATGGTCCGAGTTCTTATTTACTTCTTGTAAGCGTATGAGCTGAGAATACGCCCCCTCAGGATCCTGAAGCAGTTCAGAGTGCGTACCTTTCTCCACCATCTTTCCTTGATGGATGACTGCAATAGTGTTGGCGTTCCTAACTGTGCTCAGACGATGAGCAACAATGACAGTTGTTCTGTTTACCATAATCCTGTCTAACGCCTCTTGCACGACCCTCTCGGATTCGGCATCCAGTGCGCTCGTTGCCTCGTCTAAAAGTAAAATTCTCGGGTCTTTTAGGATGGCCCTTGCAATGGCTATTCTCTGTTTCTGCCCGCCAGAAAGCTGAGTTCCATGTTCACCAACCTTTGTATCTAGTCCCTGTAGTAAAAGAGAAGTCAAAACTTACATTTTTGCACAAATTAATGAATGTTATTATTTGTATAACACAAACAAACCTGGGGCAGTTTGTCAATAAACTTTGAAGCGTTGGCTAGTTCAGCCGCCACTCTAATTTCTTCATCACTGGCACCTTCCTTCCCATAAGCAATATTATCCTTAATGCTGGTTGTGAAAAGTACAGGTTCTTGGCTGACAAGACCGATTTTCGACCTAATCCACTTGAGCTGAAACTCTTTGAGATTGGTCCCATCGATGAGCACTTCACCTGCTTGTGGATCATAGAATCTCTCAATCAGACTTATGACAGTCGATTTCCCGCTCCCACTTTGCCCCACCAGAGCGGCCGTCGTGCCACTTGGGATGAACAGAGAAAAGCCTCTGAATATTTGCTCATCTGGTCGAGCTGGGTAGCTGAAGTGTACGTCTCTTAGTTCTATGTCCCCACGTATGTCTTGTTGTACTTTCCCCCTGCTATCATACGCGTCTATCTCGGGCTTCCTACTTATGGTTTCAAACATCTTGTACGCTGCAGCTTGACCTGCTGCAAATGCTGTCATGCATGGAGAAGCCTGCCCCAAAGACCTTG